ACATATAGAAGAGAAATAAGTATTTTTTCAAGGCACGAGTATTCATAGAGACCGCATTTGTTATCTTTCTTGTTTCCCTTTAGGCTGGTGAACAATCTTGACATGGATGTGTTCACATTTGAAGCATATGGAAAAGACTTCATCAAAAAACAAAAGATGAGCCCAGATGCGTTTATACAAGTCGCACTACAGCTTGCATTTTACAAGTAACGTATTATACACATACAGAAAACTGCATATCCCATATAGTATGTGTATGTATGACTACTCTTTTTGAATTGAAACCAATAGATGCAAAGGAAGGCTGGTGTCCACTTATGAGAGTGCTTCACTTCGTCGTTTTCAAGGAGGTCGTGTAGATAATATTCGCTCAGCCTTACCTGAGGCCCTGGCCTTTGTGAAGTCAATGGCTGACGAGAGAGCAGGTTTCACAGTAAGTCATTTGTCTCACTTTCTCCCTTATTAATAACTCCCAGAACATTGTTCACCTCTAATTAAGATAAGTGCAAGTAGCCAGTGAGGCATGTCCAACCAGGTGACTCCAATCAAACATAACTTCCCTGCAGATTCAGCCAACACATAAAAACTCCACAGCTTGATGTGGAATTTTTTATGTGAATTTGCCTATTATGTTATTTCATGCCCACTATTTATATTAACTCATAATCTTCCTTCATCTTTCAAGGACTCCGAAAAAATTAAACGACTGAAAGAGGCAGTTAAGGCCCAAACAGACTACACAATCGCAGTAAGTATTTTAGACAGTAATTGGCAATTCTTGCAACTTTGTATAAAATATTTAAGATTAATTCACATTATTTCAGTTGCAAAATCCAATTTTGAAAACATCAAGTCTTTACCTTCAGTTATTTATTTATTTATTTTTTAATCAAATAAAAGATGGTTAACCAAGAGGGGCTGTACAATCAAGATTAAATCACAATGACCATCCAAGAGAGCAATAAATAACCCAATAAAACATCTAAACTACTTGCCAGAACTGTAGAATCATGTCAGCAAGAAAGTTGATCTCGAGCACGAAGTGATCGGTATTGAAAGTGTAGCATGCTGGTGATGCCCAGCCATGGCAGGAGCAAGAAGTGAGTGGGGTACGCTGCACAGATTATCTTGTACCATTTGAAACTCAGGACAAGACTGGCCGAGAGGAAGTGTTACAAGTAATGGCCAAGACAGACACGGGAATGGCTTGTTGGAGAGATGAAGGCTGGTACTAACAGGCTGAAGAGAACAGGAAAGGTAGACCTTGGGGGAGTCTTGGTTCAATTCTATTCTCTAAGCCTACTTGCTTTATGCTCCAGGTGAACTTCTGGCTGGGACAAAAACAAATTTGCAGTTAAGGCCCTCCTGGCATGGCTGAAAAATTTATTGACCAAAATCACTCCTATATATACCCTTGACTGGATCTGTGCCCCGCCTACAACCTGGTTTTAATCAAGGAAGATGACAAATGGAAGACAGCATTTATCACTCCTAATTGTCCCTGGGAATACTTAATCATGCAATTTGGTTTATGCAATATCCCTGCAGTTTTTCTGCATTTCATCAAAGATGTCCTACGTCACATGCTTGGTTACTGGGTCTTTGTTTATCTCAAAGGCATCTTGATTTACTCCCGTTCAGAAGTCAACCATGTGTTGCGCTCCTGAGCAGTCCTTCAATGACTGCTTGATAACAAGCTGTTCTGTAAACTGGAGAAGGGGGCTTTCCATTAACACTCCACCACCTTCTTGGGTTTACCATCACCTCTTTTTGCCTGACCATGTATCTGCAGAAGGTTCACGCAGTCACTCACTGGCCTCAACCCTATAACCTCAAACAGCTTCAGAGCTTCTTGGGTCTTGCAAACTTCTATAGGGGCTTTATTTGTGGTTTCAGCTCTGTGGTATATGGTGCAACCCAAACCATTATGCCTTCCCCCAGAGGCCTTCCCAGCTTTTTGACATCTCTGTCATCTATTTACCAAAGCTCCCATCCTGCTCCATTCCAACCCGACAAAACCTTTTGTGGTTGAGGTTGATGCCACAAATGTTGGTGCCAGAGCAGTTCTTTCCAAACGGGGTGCTGATGGTTTACTCCATCCTTGCTGCTTCTTTTCAAGGAAAGTATTTTCCACACATCAGAAATACAGAGTAGTGGACTACGAACTGCTGGCCATCAAATTGGTCCTGGAGGAGTGGTTTCATCACTCCTTGTTACAGCTGAACCGTTCCTCATCTGGAACGGTCATCAACCTCAAACATTTGGAGTCCTTTAACTTAATCCTCTCTTATGACCCCGAAAAATATCAAGGCAAATGCTCTCTCCATCCAGTTGATCAATCTGCTTCCAGCAAGGACCCTGATCCTATTCTGCCACCAAATTGTACAACGGCCCCTCTTCACTGGTCTTTGGAGGACTCCATCCATGCTGCTCTACCTGCAGAAACTGCTCCTCCTTAAGTCCAGGCACACTGCCTCCATGTCCTTTCGCATTGTTATCAGAATGCCTTAGTCTGGGCCCACTCCTCTCCTATTTCTTGCCATCCTGGTCCAGGGAGGACCCTATGTCTTCTCAATGCTTTCTGGTTACCCTCAATGATTCGTAATATCCACAAATTTGTCTCATCCTGTGGCGGTTGAGCATGAGTAAAGTCATCTACCCAACATTCCACAGGGGACCTTCAGCCCCTTCCTGTCACCAGAGGTCCATGGTCCCACATCCAGCTTGACTTTGTCACAAGACTACCATCGGTGGATGGTCTCAACATCATCTTGATATTTGTGGATTGGTTCTTCAAGGAGGTGGATTTGTTGGCACTTCAGGGCCTCCCCTGTGACTTTTTTTGTCACATACGGTCAATGGCAGCTATTTCTGCTAAAAATGTTACACTGCATGGACACAGACACTTCTATTCTCTTAAACATATAACATAATGCAGATGAGGCATAGAAGGGGCATAAAGTCTTGGGTGCTTGGAATCAGTCAGTGAATGGTGAGTGGAGATAAAGATGTAGAGGCTGACTAATGATATGAGCTAGATGAAATTCTGACCTGATTTGACTTTTTAAAAAAATGTGCTGAGCTTATAATTCAATTCAGTTTCAGTCCAATTCAGTTTATTTATATAGTGCCAATTCACCACACATGTAATCTCAAGGCACTTTACAATTTAACCAGATCATACAGTCAAATTTGTTCAAATTTTTCTATCCAAGACCAAACCTAAAACCAGTTGATTGCATCGACTCATTGACTGGAAAGCAATCCCTCACACCAAGCATGCTTGTAGCAACAGTGGAGAGGAAAAACTCCATTTAAACAGGAAGAAACCTTCAGCAGAACAGGGCTCAGTGTTAGCGGCCATCTGCTGAGGTTGACTGGGGTTCAAGGAGACAGAAGCAGACATACTGAAAGAAGCAGAGGTACAAAAGGCAACTGTAAACCAGCTCCACAGATGGCCCCGTCCTGGAAACACACAGCCAGGCAGACGAGCTCCAGTGTCAGAGGATGAAAGAGATCGCATCCAGCCAGTCACAGTCAGAGAAACAGGACTACACTGGAAAACAGGCCGATCTCCAATATATATAAACAAAGGAGTTGATGGCAGCAGCACAGCTGATATTTCTCTCCAGGACAGTTTCACAGCAATACAGGAACAGATAAGGTAAAGCTACAATGAGAAAAAGCAGAGAGAGCATAACGTTAGAGATTGAACTAACAGATTCTGCAGAGTGGAAGAATAGAGATAGAATGAAGCAGAATGATGAAAAAGGGGTCCCTATGTCCTCCAGCAGTCTAAGCCTAAAGCAGCATAACTATAGTGATAGCTCAGGATAACCTGAGCCTCTGTAACTATGAGCTTTATCAAAAAGGAAAGTTTTAAGCCTACCCTTAAAAGTAGACAGAGTTTCTGCCTCACTGACAAAAACTTGTAGTTGGTTCCACAGGAGAGGAGCCTGATAACTAAAAGATCTGCCTCCCCTTCTACCTTAAGAAATTCTATGAACCACTAGTAAACCTGCAGATTGAGAGTGAAGTGCTCTGTTAGGAACATAAGGAACAATCAGATCTCTGATAATAAGAACTCTGGCTGCAGCATTTTGGATCAACTGAGGGCTTTTAACCACTGTGTGTGGACTTCATGATAGTAAAGAATTACAATAGTCCTGCCTAGAAGTAATAAATGCATGGACTACAGTAGTTTCTCAGCATCACCACTGGACATGATATTTCAAATTTTTTGCAATATTCCACAGATGAAAGAGAGAAATTCTAGAAACCTCTTTGATATTGGATTTAAATGACATGTCCTGATCAAAAATAACACCAAGATAATAACCCCTCTGCTTTATTAATGCATTGATTCAAATTGTATTTCATTTTTTTTTTAGGCAATTACAGGCATGGGGATAGACAATCACCTGCTAGGGCTTCTCAAGGTGTCAAAGGAGCTGAACATGGAGAAACCCGAAATCTTTTGTGATGAGACATATGTGAAGAGTAATCATTTCATTCTCTCTACTAGTCAGGTAGGATGATGTACCTTAAAAAACATTTTCTAAGAATACTGTTTCCATTTTTGACACCAAGTTTCATACAGATACTATTATACAAAGAAAATCAAAGAACTAATGATAAATTGGCAATATTCCTTCAGAACCATTTAAGATATTTAGTTTATGCAGTTGTTCATAATCCTGCTGATGACTCATTGTTTGCTGCAAGCAGTCTTATTAATGTGAAACTCCAGGAAAATATGCTGCCTCAGCAAAGAGTTTGGTTTCAGACAATAGTTTTTTTTTTTCAGTGGACACTTTCTTGGCATGGATTCAAGCCCACACTTAAAGTAATTTGGCTTCCTTAGGCAACGCTTTTTCAACACCACATTAATCAAGTTGAGGAAAGGAGCTTGCACAGGGCCTAACAGTTAGTGTTTTGCCCTAACGTAATGGTATTAACTTCATGGCATTGTCTCACCTTGAACATTTACATGAAAGTTACTTTTACTGTCATTATTCTGCCCTCTGTGGACTTCTGTTTAAGTTTCTTTTTGAGTATTCAGTTATTTATGTCATTCTAATTTGTTAGTCATTTGTTTCTTTTCCATTTTGTGTTACATTTAAGCAGTGTTATTTTTAGTGTTGCTCTCTGTTGCCCCCCTGTGTTACTCTCCTTTCCCCTAGCTCCTTTCTAGTTACTTCTATCCACACCTGCTCCATATCAGCTAATTAGCCCATTCTTTGTTCTGTACCCATTATATACATCTGCTGTGCAGTTAATCATTGTTAGATCCTCTTCATTGCTTAATTTTTTCTTGTATGTTTCTCCTGAGCATCTCTAGTTTTTGGTTTCTCAGTTCCCAGCCTGTTATTTCTGGATTTATGTTTTTTTTTTTACCATCTACTTCAGCATTAAAACTGCAAAAACTATTTCTGCCTCCTCTACTCTGCATTTGGGTCCACAATAACATCCACCAACCCTAACATTTACAGGCAACACTGACTAGTGACAAATGCTTTTTAAGATAGAAGAAAAATACACTCTTTAGACACCTATAGAAAAAGAAAAGTTTATTCACCAAATCTGCACAGAGTAGTCAAGAATAAAAGCAAAAAAGAAGATCTATGGGTATCTTTTAAAGACCTCTGTGTGGAATGTTATCTTAAGCGCAAGTGTAAAATGCTGCCAAGCACAAGTGTATGTCCTGGTTATGGTTACTGTAAACATTGAGCTCAACTGTCAGCAAATTTCACTGACATCCAGTTTTTAACCACTTAATGGCTTAAATTATTAAATTAAGTGCTTTAAAGTTGAAAATAAGTCCACATATTTGATGATCACTAATTGAATTTTAAAACTTTTTTGGCGGAACAAATGGACAACCAGTCTCTTGTTTTTGCATAACTTGGATATGATGTAAGGTTAAAAAAGTTTGGTTTCACCTTGCTTTACTTTGCTTGATGAGTAAAGTGACTTATTTACCTAAAATATATATTCATATTGAGTGTCAAGAGGAAGAGCAGCTTTATTTACAGTATGTATTTTCTTCCAATTACTCACTAAATTGTTTAAGCCTAAACTGTGTTCATTGTTTTCTAGGTCCCTACAACAGTGAAAATGTTTTGCTGCTATGGCCCAGTAGTACCCAATGGCTATGGTGCCTGCTACAACCCACAGCCGAACCACATTGTCTTCAGTGTGTCAAGTTTCTGGGAAAACACTGAGACAAGCTCTGCCGTTTTTGTCAAGGCTCTGAACGAAGGCTTGTTGGAAATCAGGGACCTGTGCAATAGAAGTGCTGCCGCCGCTACTAAAACATCTGAAAGCAGTCAGACAGCAGCAGCCAAGCCATATAAATCAGGAAAGTAAGCCTTACTGGTAGTTCACCCCTAATCATCTCCACTCTTAAAGTTAGACTCGGTAGCTTGGGAAAATATTATTGCCTTAAAAAAGAATATATTACTAGAAAAATATGTATATACATCTATTTAAAAAAACAACTGTAATAGAGAAGAAGAATGAAGACGTATATCTCCTTTTTGGATCTGTGAGAATGATGCGGGGTCCAAAACAGACTCTGGTGGACCTAGAATACTCGGTCTGCTACACTTAAGGAAAATGAAGCCATGTTTGTTTGTAGAACCGATCTGATGATTCAGTCTTCAGTATAAGTTATTTGAATTATTGGTATGTATATATATATATATATATATATATATATATATATATATATATATATATATATATATATATAGACCTAAGGTCAAGGTTGACCAGACCCACAAAAATCGTAATATAGAATAAGATAGTTTTGTTGTGACATATAGTTTATGTGAATCTGCAAACTTTGCCACTTTGTTAGCACTGTGAAATGAAATGTACAACAGTATAATGTGTTAATATATATACTTTATTTTTACAAAGAAATATTTAAAAAAGTGTGCATATGTGACATACAGTATACGGATAGGCCAACGATAAGTTGGAAGCACTTTAAGACACACATACGTACAAACACAATCCTTTATAGACGTGTGTAGCTGAAACCTGAAAATTACACAAACTGTATAAATGGATTTTTCCTGATTGTCTGAAATTAAATCACAGGGAATTTATCCTATTTTAAATCTGTTTGGATTAGAAAATTCACCAAGGTACAACACTGTTTGACTTTTGTATGATACCAAAGTTCTCAAACATGTGGTTTGATATGTGGTCTCCTTTTACTATCTGCTCTGAATCATTTATTAAAGTTATGTCCCATTTCTCCCCAAAGAACTGGTGTAACACATAATTTAGGTTTGTTAGCTTGAACACTTCTACCCATAAAATTTCTACAGCTTATAGATCAGGCCTTTTAAGGTCATCCTGAAACACTATTTTATTATTTTTTAAACATAGTTAATCTGAGGGTATGACTGCATCCATTGAATCACTTATGCATATGTTTCTGGAAAGTTTTGAGATTTAGCATACTTTTCCGAGATGTTTTTTATTTGGTTTTCTTGTTCTAGTTTTTTTTTTTTTTTTTTTAGAGGATAAAAGCAATCCTCTGAACTGATTCGGCCTCTTACCCTTAAGGTTAGAAAGGCATTCTCATGATGAAATAGAATTACCTGCATTTGTGTTAGAGAAAAGAACAAGGCATGTTGATGCATCCTGAAACTGTACCCAAGGATGAAGAAGACTAATCAATATGAAAAATTTTCCTGTTATATATTGGTTGCTTTCTTTATTCTATAATGTTATATGAGGCACTAATATGTATAAGGCGTTAACATACATCCAATGGTGTGCCTTGGTTAAACTCAAATATAGTGAATTTAGAAGACTGAATCTTCTGAATTCACTACATGATCCACAATATCATCTCAATTTTCTCAAGTTATTCAGAGACGTATTGACCTTTGGGTGCTTAAAATTCAACATAAGAAATAAAATGCATATTACAGGGAAAGTGAAAAAAAAATACATAAATGTCTTAATTATGACTAATTGTTGTAGTAGTAAAATGACCTTAAAAAATAAAAGATATATATGTATGTAAATCTCTATATGTATGTTGTAAGTGTTAAAAAATACAAAGGCTATCACCTACATTACTTATTTCCTTGACTGCAGTGTAACAGAAATTGTCTACCTACCTACTTGTATTATACCTAACAGCAATAGTCAAATACTCTGTGACTTTATATATACGTAAGCTTACTTGCTGTTTCTTCATATATGAGGTGCAGTGAAGCTTTTTATGCAGTTTGACAAATCACCTAATTCTTCATGGGTATGTTTACAAGAGGTGCTGTATTTCAATTAAGAAAATAGATTGATTATATGATTAAAAATGTTCATTTGCTAAGTACTTTCTCATAAACGTTCTTCTTTTTAATTATTTGTCTCCAATGTTTTTTGTTGTGCAAAGTACCTAGTAATCTGTACTGAAAGTGAATCTGCTATATTGTCCATCAGCCAAAGTGGATGTGATATGATTTTAAACTATAGATAAAGCAAATATTATATCTTTTAATGTCTTGATTCCTATATGAAGATATTTTTGATGAAATATTGTTAAAATCTCAGTAGTGCAATTTCCAAATGCCTTAAAATTATGTGGAAGTGGTCTTGTGATTTGTCTTATGCAAGAAGTGTTTCATGTGAGCAACATGTATCTGTCACAATTGTATGTCTTTATTTGTCTTATACCAGAAATATTTGGTAATAATTATAGAATACCACCATATAATTGTGGCTCTCTTTGTTTCACCCAATAATATGCTATATGTATGTTGCTAATTCATTATTGATAATACAGTCTATGGAGAAGTGTTGCAGCCCTTCAACGTTTCAGAGTTCTGAAAAGCTACAGTGTACAACATTAGGACTTCATGTGATGGCTCGAAAGAGGTAAATCAACACTTTGTAAAGGAAGAAAACTGTTTTGTTATTATTTTTTTAATTTGACAACATAGGAATTAAAGTGCTGAGCTCCTTAATTTAAACTGCTTTCCTCTAATACCCTTAAATAAAATCCAGTGTGGACAATTGTCTCCAGAAGTCATTGTTTCTGCAAACACTATCAAGATCAGACAACATACTGTACCAGACCATCCACAAATTCATTCTCTGTCACACTTATCACAAGCGGGGTCCTGAGGGTAGGTTGGAAGATTTTTTGTTAGTTTAAAAACTTGTCTTAAGTTTGTTACAAGTCATGGAGAGGACGCAGTAAAAAATTGAGAAAAATGATGTGCCTTGGATCAAATTATGCCAAAACTAACAAGGACTGATCATCACCCTTAATGCACTATCCTAACAGTGATGTAGTAGTGAAACCATCATTCTGCAGAGATACTTTTCTAAGAACGCAGGGGTGGGGCTGCTGGTCTCGCTCCAGCTCACCAGTCTCATGGTGGAGTTTACCACGCTACATGAGAGGGTTGCATCAATTTGTCTTTGGGTGGGGGGTCTCTGACTGTAGTTTTAGCCTATGGGTTGCCAACAGGGACACCTGGAGGGGCATAATCTGGAGGAACGGACCCCTAGCCCTGAACCCGAGTGGTGTTTTATTATTGGACTTCTGTGTAACTCGTGAATTGTCCATAATAAACGCCATGTTCAAGCATAAGGATGTCCAATGGTGCACCTGACAGCCCAAGCCAGAGGTCGATGATCAACTTTGTAGTCTTTCTGGATACTGTTGGGCTGTCTTGGCTGACACGCCTATTCAATATCATGTGGAGGTCCTGGACAGTGCCCTTGGATTGACAGACCAGAGGGTGTGTTCCAACTATAGGGAGATCACACTTCTTAGCCTCCCCAGACAAACCTTAGCCTCCCCAGTGTGGCCTATGCCATGATACCGGAGAGGAGTCTGGCAGAGAGCAAACCTCTGCTTCAGGAGAAGCAGTTTGGTTTTTGTCCTGCTGTGGAACAGTCGACCAGCTCTACACGCTCTGCAGGGTGCTCAAGAGTTCACGGGAGTTTGCCCAACAAGTCCACATGTGCTTTGTGAACATGGAAAAGGCATTCGGCCGGGTCCCTTGTACAAGCGTAGCAGGAGCCTGGTACCCACTGCTGGCATTAAGTTGTACCTGTTCCTGGTCCATATTGAACTTAGGGCTGCCCTCTGTCACAGATCCTGTCAATAACCTTTATCGACAGGATTTCTAGGCAACGCCAAGGACCGGAGGGGGGCTGGTGTAAGGACAGGTGGATCTGGACCATGCTTTTGGAGGATGACATGGTTCTATTGGTTCCCACCTGCCAAGACTTAAGGGCTGCTTATATTCCTCCAGCAGTGTGTTGCAGTGAGCTTGTCGCGAATATGACGCATATATTTTTGATGGCCAAAATGCCTAATTTTATTTCCTGCCACAATGCAAGAGGGACAATCATGAACTAGCTGTGGGTCTAGATACGGCCGAGGCGGTGAGGAATTGGAAAAATGCAAGGGGCAAGTTTGTGCGACAACGGAGGGACATGAGGGCAAAAAAGAGCGGGGATCCAGGTGGAAAAAAGGCTCCCAGCATTCTTGCGCACCTCGCTCTTCTAGCAGGTCCAACTTCGTGAGTCGTTTTCCACAATAAAGGTCATACAAACTAAACAAGCCAGTAAGGTAGCAAACATGAAATACGCAGTGTGGAGCGGATGTAGATTTGACCTACAATTTTGGAGAAATTTTGGGCGGGGACATATCTGCATTCACTGTGACACACACACAGACAGCCTGGTTTCTGAACATAAATCAGCCTTTACAGCATCCAATGGGGTGGTTTGCAGCCAAGTGTAAGGTGGCTAGGATGAGAATCAGCTCCTCCAAGTCAGAGGCCATAGTTTTCAACAGGAAAAAGGCGGCTTGTTCCCTTCAGGTTGGAGGAGAGTTCCAACCTCAAGTGGGGGGAGTTTAAGTATCTTGGGTTCCTGTTCATGAGTGAGGGGAGAATGGAGCAGGAGATCGATGCGTCTGGTGCTATAATGTGGACGGTTCAGCAATCTGTCATGTGAAGAGAGAGCTGAACAAAAAGGCAAAGCTCTCAATTTACCAGTCAGTCTATGTTCCTACCCTCACCTTAAGGAGAAAATCAACGATACAAGCTGCTGAACTTAGCTTTCTGCGCAGGGTAGCCGGGCTCTCACTTTAGCCTCTTTCCCACTAAAAAATAGTTGGTTAACCCTGGTTTTGTAAGCATGATTCGAACCCCTAACAACTGGGATTTGGCTCCCTTCCCATAAAAAAAAAAAAAAGCTGGGTCTAATTCCCTACCTCTGCATGTCTGGTGACACCATCACATTGGGTTAGCATTGGTGATGTCACCACTGTGACAAAAATTGGGAAAGAAAAAATGAAGGGCTGAATATAAGGAAGATAGGGCATAGTAAATATGCCTTATTGTTTCACTCTTTTATCTGTCTGAATCCCTCTTACCAGTTCTGCACCATGTTTATCAAATGAAACAGAGTTGTTTGGGCTATTGTACTACCAAATATTTGCCGGTCAACCCAGGTCTGGTGTGCACAGTTTGCCGATCAGGGCCAAGCCGATTTCCACACGTGAGGCTTATAAGGTCGTTTAACCCGGGTAGACACGGGTCAGTGAGCTGTTCCCACTGCCACTGAAAAATGATTCTTCCAAGGTTTAAACTGTTTCTTTAGCAAGTGGGAA